CAAGAATAGCCTTCAAGGCGTCCCAGAGCCCTCAGTCCTCTGTATGTATCCGGTACAGGTACTCCGTACAGCCACGTTGTGTGTACCAAGAGCAAGCGGATTCTGCCAGCAGCCCGAGACTCCGTGCGAGCGTTGTCTCCACCCGTCTCACTCGTCTCACTCGTTCCGCTCGTATGTACCAGTAAAAGGAACGAGGCTTCTTGGATCGGACCCTGAGAGGGTTAGCACTGGCCCACTTGGCCCTCGAATGGGGAAAAAGCCCGCATGACCTTAGAGGCTAAGCAACACTGGATGAAACCCTGACTGGGGCTCACGGTCCACAAGCAATTCCAGGTCCATACAGAGTATGGTTTTGTACGGGTTCCTGGTGGCGATGCTTGAGGGTATTTGGAGTAGGCTTGTGTATGGTTGGTGGTGGTGGTAGTAGTGGTGAGTGGTGAGTGGTGGTGGGTGACTGATGGTGGTGGTGAAGTGCGCTGGCTACTTTCCCCATGTTCCACTTTCACTTCTTCTTTTCTATAATTATTTATTCTTCCCGCGCCACTCCCCCCCCGTCACTTTTCCCTCCTGAACCCTCTCGATTTGGATCTTTGCTTTCCTTGCATGATCTAATCACCCACCTCCTTCCTCTCCCATATGCTTCTCATGTCGCCCTGAAGCATCTAGGACCATGCAATTCAACAACCCCCCGTGGAATGCCACGGGCACCACTCCGAGCTTCGCTGGTCAAGCCCTGGGCTGGATGCGTTTCTTCTGTTGCACAATTCCCGCGCGTGGCCTGCAAGCTTCGTTCACCTGGGAACTATCTCGCAAGTTCTGGTATTCATTCCTCTTCGTCTCCATCTTCTTCGCCAAGCTCTTGCATATCTGGGCCCATATCGATTCCATCCCCGTCGGAACTCTGTTCCTCTGGGGCTCGACTTTTTTCGTGCAAGACATCATCTTCCTGTTTTTGGCGCACGTCTTGTCGCGCAGCTATCAGCACAAATGGATTCGCATTGGTGCTGCTACTGCCATGATCGTGGCTACGTGAGTTTTTCTTTTTTCTCGTTCTTTGAACACCCCCAAATCCAAGGTCGCGTGCGCGTCCGCCCGATTGGGAAGCGAACCTCGTTTCTAATCTGAGCTTAATTTCTATCTAGTCTCGTCCTTTCCGTCATGGCCGCTGCCAATACTTCCTTCTACTTCACTACCGGAGCTGAAATTCACTGGCGCCAGGCCGGTGGTTTCAACCGCGACCCCGCCTCCATCAACACTTTGCTCACCGGCCTCACCGGTCTCGTCATCGTCGAAGCTCTCTATATCGTGGTGGCTGGATTTGCGACCCCGCACCTCTATAATGCCGTGGGTGGGGTGATGCACACATGGGGCGACTTCTTCGCCTCGATTACCAAGCCCGTCATCCCCGTCGTCAAGCCGGTGGCTAGGTCTCTGATGGAGATGGTCTTCCGCCGATGGGGCAGAGGGCGCAAGCTGTTTGAGGACTTGAAGATCTATGAGCCAGTTCCTCTGGGTGACTATGAAGACGACGAGGACAAGATGAACTCCGCTCCTTTGCTAGATCAGCCTACCCAGTCGCGATCCAACGAGGAGGACTTCGGCCTCGGCCTCGGCCTCAAGCAGCGCTGGATGAACAGAATGAACAGCGGATTCGACGATTTGAAACAGGACTGGCGACCGATCGCCAAGCGTGCACTGATCATTGTCCCAACTGCAATCATCTTCATTCTCCGTCTCGCCCGTCCCTCCGAGCAAGCGCTCTGGTTCATGTCCCAAACAGTCATTATTTCCCCCTTTGCCGGTGTCGATTCCAAGGGCAAGCTTCAGATGATCTCGGACGACCCTTATCTGCACGGCAAGCTGACCGCTCTGACCGCACCTCCTCGTTGGGATTGGTTCCCAGAGGGCGACTGGCCTGGATTCCGCGACTGGGAGAAGGGCGGATTCGACGGCAACAAGTACTCTCACTACAACGCCACTGAGGACCCCCTGACCATCTCCAACTTGGGCGAGGACATCCTAGAGCCTCTCCGGGAGGCCCTCCACAGCGGCAAGGTGAACATCAAGCATATCTTCGTCTTCAAGATGGAGAGCACCCGCTACGACGTCTTCCCCCTCCGCAAGGGCTCTTATATGCACGAGCGTCTCGTCAAGTCCCACAAGAAGAATCGCATTCCCAAGGACGTCCAGCGCCGTCTGGCCAACCTGACCTCTGTCGCTGAACGCTTGACTGGTGCCGAATCCGGATTTCACAAGAAGGGTGCTATCAAGCCTTATGGTGGTCTTCGCGCCGACAACTCCTACACTGGCGGTACTTTCACCCTCAAGAGTATCGAAGCCACCACTTGCGGTCTTTCTCCTCTCGTTATCGATTTTAACAAAGAGTATGAGCACCATATTTACAACCCGTGTTTGCCCCAGGTGCTTGACGTTTTGAGTGCCAAAACCAACGATACCAAGAGCAGCGACTACAAGATGTGGCCTTGGCGCCCGACTTTCATGCAGTCGATTACCGATACCTACGATCACCAGAACCTGCTGTCCCCCGCACTCGGTTTCAAGCCGGAAAACGTCGTTACTGTCGAGTCTATCGATGAGGATATCGCGAATGGCAAGAATTTCAACTACACCAAGTTCAACTTCTGGGGTTATCCCGATGGATCCCTGAAGGGCTACTTCCGCGAAGCCATTGAAAGGGCCGAGACCAATCACGAGCGTCTTTTCCTCACCCACCTGACTGGTATCACTCACCACCCCTGGGATACCCCCGATGGAAAGTACGATGATCTTTTCGGTTCCGAATCCAACTCGTTCGGTGGAAAGAACGACCAGCTGAACCGCTACTTGAACACCGTCGGCGTCAACGATAAGTGGTACGGTGACTTTTTGGATCTTCTAGAGGAGACCGGTGTCGCCAACGAGACCCTCATTGTCATGACTGGTGATCACGGTTTGAGTCTCCCAGAAGACGGCAATGTGACGCCCTATGACAATCCCTTAGTATCGAACTTCCATGTGCCGCTCATCTTTGCCAATCCTAACATTCCGCCCATCTCGATCAACTCGTCCGTGAGCTCCGTTCAAATCATGCCCACCATCCTTGATCTTCTCAAGACCTCCGGATCTCTTGATCATGTGAGCGCCCGCGCTGTTGGCGACTTGCTGCCCATGTACGAGGGCCAGTCTATGATTCGTCCCATCATCGCCGAGAATAACAACACCGCCTACTATCAATTCACCGTCATGAACACCGGTGGCTCCCTGGTCGCCATGCGGTCCGCTAACCGCCCATACCGCCTCATCGTTCCTCTGGTCAACGAGGTTGAGTGGCGCTTCAGCGATCCTTCCACGGACCCCCAGGAGCAGAGCCCTATCAAGTCGTTCGATCTTGACGGCCTGTTCAAGGCCATCGAGGCGCAGCACGGTTCTGACGCTGTCAAGTGGACCCATGATGCATCCCATGCCGCTCAGTGGTGGGTCGCTGACAACTGGCGTCGCTACGAATATGATCCCTCCCGGCCGAAGTCGCCATCCAAATCAGGCTGGGCTGATGGATACAAGGGGCCATGAGCAACCAACCAGTCAGCATTTCCTTCTCCGATACACTGGAAAACACAACACACAACACACAACCATGAATATACACAAGAAAAAACTGCACAAAACCTTAATACCCAGAGAGAGAGAGAGAAGTGGGAAAAGACCTCACTCATCTCCTCCCACATTTGTATGATTATTGATTTTTCAGACCTTTCTGAAGACTCTGATCTGAACAGCATGGCGCACGGCATATTTCACATTTTCACATTCACATATTAGGGGCCTTTTCCGAGTTTTTCCACATCTTTCCCCCCCTATTTTTTGTACATACCTTTTGCATATTCTGGGGTTTTGTTTCGACTTTGTTGATAATGAGTCACTACATTATGAAATACTTATTCTATCCTTCCTTCTCGTTCAAATTTTTTATCTGCTGCCTACACTGGCGTTATTCCAATATTGTAAATGCTTATGCCGCTCACCTCCATCCGATAACATCATTAATTGGATGGTCATATGCAAAGCAATTTACATCACAGGGTTCCCTTAACATGACTCCGGGGTTGCGGTGGCCTTCTCGCCGAGGTCCATTCAATTGTGTAGATACTTCCCCATCTTCCTATGCTGCCTCCCGTGGCGCTTCCACGTTCACTAAGGAACGACACGACAGGCTCCACTCCTAGCGAAGGAAAGCCTATGTATCCGAAAAGAATCCAAGGGATCAATCCTAGCAGGGTCTTCAGGGGGAGCGGCTTCAAGAGGTAGTTGAAGGAATCTCAGACAGTCCACCAAAATGGGTGGGACTATTTCTTGAGCGCTGCATGGGCTGTGTTTGTTGTGGCGGGGCCGCGGGTTTCCTCAGTATTGAACCGTAAAATCTCCATGTATACAAGCAGCAGGGCAGGAGATATAATCGGCCAGCGTTGGCAAGACGATCGCTAATTGAACTGGTTTCCTGGGCGGGGAGCTAGGGGCGAAGCGGCCCGGCCTAGGATCCCCAGTGCTGCCCTGTCAAGAGCCAACTCCACTCCGTATGCTCAGTATAGCAAAGAGAACTTCAGAGGCGTATTAGTGGTAGCCAATAAAACCACCCTGCATATACAAATGAGAGCGGAAACAAGAATGTACGTCGAGTCCCCTGCTGCACTGTTGGCAGACTAGTCTCGATCAGGTGCACCAATGCGGTGGGTGGCGAGGGGAAGCTTTGATCTGACCTGATCTGATCTCTGAACCTGAAGGCCGCGGGCGATCATCCGTTCACACAACTCGACGAACCCTCGCCGAGACTATACTAACCAATTTAGTTCAAACTAGTCCTCGTTTAGCCTGTGGATCAGGTCTGAGAGTTCCATCTTCTCCGCCCCTCGGCGGAGATCCTCTCCTCCGCATCCTCTTCTCGTTTTGGGTTTTGCGATTTTGAGGGGGTTCAGTTGTGGTTCAGTAGCTCAGTTCTATTCAATATGGAATCGTCAAAGCCATGGCTTCATAAGATTCGGGCTTCCGAGTCTTTTGTTGTCATTGTGGTGTCCATTGCGATTTTCACGGTATGTCGGATCGGATGGGAGTTTATTTGCCGTCGCTGATATTGTCATTCTTTTAGGATATTTTCATTTATGGCATGGTGAGATCAATCTATCACAATGATCGATTCTCCCCTTTTTTTTTCTAACATATGATACCTGCCAAGGTTGTCCCTATCATTCCCGTTGCACTGGTTGAACGCGTTGGGGCTCGAGAGGAAGATGGTATGATTGATTGATTGATTTATCATTCTCCAAATCTTCTCTGTCCACATTGCCCCGCTAACCGTCATGGACAGCGCAATATTGGGTATCAGTTCTGCTAGCTGTCTACGGCGCAACTCTTCTTATCGGATCGCGTATGTATTTGTTTTCTTATATTTCATATTCCTATCTGACTGAGTTTCACAACAGCGCTCTTCGGCTGGTTCGCCGACCACTCTCGATATCGAAAATTGCCTTTCGTCCTCGGTCTGCTTGCACTGGGTGCCTCAACTCTCCTATTCATCGTTGCCCGCTCGATGGTGCTTCTTATCATTGCACGCGGTCTGCAGGGATTCTCCGCTGCGGGTGTTTGGGTCGTTGGACTTGCGATCGTTGTGGATAATGTATCCCCCGAGCGAGTTGGGGAGGCCATGGGACAAACAACAATCGGTATGACGTGGGGATTTCTACTTGGCCCTACGATTGGCGGAGTCATGTATGAGAAGCTGGGTTTTTATGGGACGTTCATGATTCCTGTGGCTCTTATTGCTCTGGATGTGATCTTGCGATTTGCTATTATCGAGGTGCCGAGTGAGTGGCGTCATCCCAACTTTGCGAGAGACGAGACGTTGTGAGTGATCATACTAATTGCATGTATGTTATAGGGACTGCTCAAAATACGGAGCCCACTCTCAACTCGCAGGCTATTGACTCTCAGGCTGATGCGTACAATACGCTCACTTACCCGGAGTCTCAGTCTCCCCAAGCAAGGAATACTCGTACCGGGTCCGATCAACATTGCGATGAGCAAACATCCTTATTGAGATCCTCGACTCCTTGCGCTAGATCCTCAAACTTGGGCAAACAAAGATCCGCGACGATATTCAGTCTTCTCACGTCCCCCCGACTGCCCCTTGCATGTACGGCCACCATTGTGATGGCTGTTATAACCGCAGCCTTGGAAACCGTTCGTTTACCCTCCCGATTGCTCACTACCTCGATTGAAAGCATGACCTAGTAACTGATTCTACTATGCAGACCATCCCGCTATACGTCATGCAGACATTCGGCTGGTCCTCTGGCGGTGCAGGGTTGATCTTCGTCGCTTCGTCCATCCCCAGTTTCGCGGGCGTGCTTATCGGAAAGCTCATCGATCGCATTGGAGTCCGGATCCCAGCAGCTGCGGCTTTTTCAGCCTCGGGCTGCGCCTGGATTCTGATGCGTTTGGTGAACAAGAACACAACCGCCGACATCATTCTACTAACAGCGCTCCTGTTCATTCTCAGGTCTAGCGGTCGTCACGGTAGAAATTACCGCCATGACAGAAGCTTCTCAGGTGGTTGGGGACTATGAGATTGAGAATCCTGGCGCGTTCGGAGAGAAAAGTCCGGTCGCCCAGACATATGCGCTATTAAATATGGCTTTTGCGGGGGGTCAGCTCCTGGGTCCGATTTTGGCGGGTGCAATGCGGGTACGTGCAGGTTGGGCTGCGATGACCCTCGTGTTGGGAGTGCTGTGTGCCGTCACGGCCGTGCCTATTGGACTGCTTAGCGGTGCCTGGCCTAAAAGGGTCGAGGCTGAGGCCGAAAGAGATGGGTAGTTGGCAGCTTTTGCAGGAAAAATTCCTGCGCAAACGAAACAAAAAGTTTTTGGGGATTTAGAGATCGTGATTTATACAGCATAGAGGTCAATAAAAACCCATTGATCGGTGGATGCTGAGCAAGCTCCATTTATGCTCTTCCATTTCATCGGTTGAGTTAAAGAAAAAGCGAAAGGGGGCTGTTCATTTGAAAGGGCGACATACTACCTGGGTAGTAGTAGCTGATGTACCTCGGGCGGCACTACAAAAATCGAATGATCGCATTTGTAAGACTGGGTTGACTCATGAAGATCCTTCAGCAAGTTGGAATGCACGAAGCGTCCAATTGCCGTTGCGATACTACTAGTAGTATCCTGCAAACAAGGCAGCCCCAGCCCCGCAACGCCACATTGAAGCGGGGGCCTAGAATCAAGAAAGTCCTAGCTCAGCTCAAACCTGGAATATTTTGAGGATTATTTCCAGCATCCAAGACCCTGGGATCTTGGACTCAAACACACAAGGACGGTCGGCGTGAAAAAGAAACCAAAGATGAGACGCTGGCACAAGGACGGCTGTCAGAGCCCTGAGATCGTGCTGGTTGACTCTAATTCCAGTCTCCACTGCAAAAGTTGCTCCGCACTATCATCCCTTGATGAAACGACAGACGCGGCTCAACAGAATAACCGATCTCCACCACCGAGAACAGAAAATCAGCCGTTAAAATGGCCTGCAAAGGCGCGCTATTTAGGCGAGTTCTCTTCAGCTGTTGAAATCACGCAGCCTCCTCGGAAGGTCTCTCGTGTAGGGTCGATTGTGACCCAAAATGAAGAAGTCGCGAGACCAGAGACCCTTTTTGACGATGAAATTCGACTCATAAGACTGATGCCATGCGAGAATTCGGATGGGCCGGTCCATATCACATGGGAGAAAACACATCTCCGCGAACAGCCTGTTCAGACGTATGATGCTGTTTCGTATACGACTGCTGGGGGGTTATCTCTATGGAAACCAGTCTTCATGGGCTTGTTCTGGGACATTATTTTTGTTCACAGTAACTGCGAAGCTGCCCTTCGACAAATTAGAAGTCTCGGTTTGACACAGCTTCTCTGGGTTGATGAACTTTGTATTGATCTGGATGATGTCCTCGAGAGAAATCACCAAGCTGGTCTCTCGCGTGAGATCTATGCGAATGCGAAAGATGTTCTTACATTTATAGGTAATTCTTCGCCTGAAACTGGGTTGGTTTTGGAAAATTTGAAAGAAGCGAACGCGGGTGGTGTCATTAAGATTCACTCTTCGGGGTCACAACGTGCCTGGAAATGCTTCTCTGACCTACCGATATTCTCACGTGTTTGGATCTTCCAAGAGCTTCTGGTCGGCCGACACGTCGTGCTCATTTCGGGAGGCTCTGCTACCCCTTGGTCTAGAGGAACAAAGATCACGGTCCCGCATAATTCAGCTACCAGCTCGATTGTACACCGTATGATTGGAAATGAAAGCCTGGATAATGAATTTCTGGATATCCTTCTCGCCGCCTCACAGTATGACTGCTCGGATCCGCGAGATAAAGTATTCGGTGTGTTGGGCCTTGCGGATGAAGCTATCAGACCTGACTATTCACTATCGGTTGAAGATATTTACACGGGCATTGCTGCATATCTTGCCACCTATCTCGGAGACATGAGAATCCTGAACTTCGCAGGATCAAAAAACCGGTCAAATCTCGACATACCATCGTGGGTTCCAGACTGGACTCAGAAGCAGACCCTTCAGTTCCCAAGTCACGAGATTGACATCACTGATCCTGGAATGGAGGGGATGACAGCGCTCTCATTTCATGGCATGGTACCGAGCAACATAGAGATCCTTGTCGACCCCAAGTCAAGAGCTTTACAATGTTCTGCGATCAAATTATGTTCTTACGATGAAAGATGGCAGTTATTCTCAATAATGCGGGAAAGCAGTTATCGTCGAAGCGTCTTTCCAAGAGACCATCAGGGGAAAATTGTGACGAACCGTCACAGTATACCTGGATTCTTCGGCTTCGTAAACGCACCGGGTCCCGTAACCCGCCAAGACAGTGTTTCTGTTTTCCTGTTGCAGGGAATGGACCATCCTGTTATTTTACGATATATACCCGAAAAAGAGGCTTATTCGTTACTCACCACGTGTGTGGTCTCATTTCGTCAACCTCAAACAATGTATCTTCCTTGGGAGGAGAATTCTCCGGATTCTTCAGCCGAAACCTCATCCAATGTTCTCGACATCCATCGAATGGCCACTGAGGATATAGATGGAATTGTGGAATTTGACTCTCGTGTACTTGATGTGATCTGGCGACGCCTAAAAATACCCCTTGAACCCGACCGCCGCACGTTCTTCCATGCAACAGCCAGGTTCTTGGATATCGTGAAAATATTTTTCTTGGAGATTCGAGAATTAGAGAAGCCTCTTAGGGACTCTTGGAAATACTACGAGGACAGACTAGGTTTGATGTTCCGGGATTCTAGACATGTGTGGTCCTTTGTTGAGTATCTCGGAGAGCAAGAAGATGAAATACGCGGCACAGAGAAAATGCCTCGAGCAGATAAATTGAATACAGCATGGACAAGTCTCCGCGACTGGAAACTACCGTCCGAATATACATGGGACCTGGAAAGATTCTGCCTGTCGTTTGTTTCGGGTTCCTCAGCACCTCCTGTGGAAATTCTTGAAGATGACGATTCCGAGCCTGAGGATCTGATCTCTCATATAAGCGATATAAGAGCATGGGCAGAGACGACAGAGAAACTATTGAGGATAATGTCATTTACGGAGAAACATATGAGCTCGAGTTGGCCCTCATTTCCGGGAAATGATATGGCGCGAACATGGCTCGCGCCCTTCGAGACCGGTGTGTGGAAATGGGAGAAATTCCGAGCTTCGCTTGTCGCCAGGGAGTGTATTTGGGGGATGTTGATACCTGAAGAACTAAACCCGAGGGTTAATCGTAATATCAAGATGCGCTTGATTATGAGTCAGATTGGTCTGGCTGAGGAGGAAAAGCAGATTACGCTTATATAGTACCGTGATGTTCAATCAGGAGATGTGCTATGTGTGTAGCTGATGCTTTTCTTAAACATCCCAAATCGATACATCGACACGATCACTATAAGCCCTTTGTTTCCTTTTTATCTATTCTATCTCTTGATACTAGTATATACTCCGTCTATCCCCTACAGTATTGTTCTTGTTCTTAGTTGGCCTTCCCCGCATTACGTCATTGGCATAACCAAGCTGATCCACCGCCCCTTCATCTTCATCTTCATTTTGATCTTAATCTTTACCTTCTACATCCTCCCATCAGCACTTTATGACATCCAGAACCATTTATCTCGTTTCGTCTCGCAATGCAGAGTCTCAACGGGCGCACTTTGCGATCTTTGTTCCTGCCGCCACAGAGCCAGACCAAGGAACGTTGATCGAGGCTGTCGGTGCACCGATGACTGGTTACATCCTTGAATTCAAACGAAATTACTCTCTTATAAATGACACACAAGAGCACTACTCTCTGATACAGCTTGGAGAAGTCGATGCTGAAAATATAGTCGACGCTCCAACTGATATCAAGTGCACCGACTACCAGCCCAGAGGGAATATCGAGATTGCCGCCTCGCAGGTGACTCCTCCCGGAATTAGTGAGAATTTTCTGGCCCCAGTGAATGATGTAAGTCTTCCAGATCAAGTCAGCGTTTTATATCAGGAGCTTCACTAACTGAAATGCTTGTTTACAGCGCAATAACAAACGGTGCCAAGAATGGACAATGGAGTACATACGCCATCTCGTGTCGAAAAGATTGATAGCATCGGAGGCAATTCATACCGTACAATCTAAGCGTGATCCACCGAACCACGGTGTCGGGCTACAGTCTACATTGCGGCGTTCGAGCTAAAAAGAGCATGGCATCGAGGGCCGTGCTATGATGATGATACGTACATATATGCAGGAACAGATCTGGAAGCTAGAAGTGATCGGACTAATTTCTAAGGGATGCTCTGCATACTAAGGTAGACCGAGCAGATTCAATGGGTATTAGCCTGGCAATCGACGTCAGATTCCGATTGCACGCCGTCGGTTCTAGGAGCCACCGACGAACGATAGGCATTTAAACGTAGCATATGACGTTTCGTAATTACCTGGGTTTGCCTGAAGCGACAACAGTTCCTAACGGATCCCATCGACTATACGGCATTTCCTCTTGGTCCACCTTTTCGAGCCCTTGGACAAATACCCCCGAGCTACCGATTCCAAGCCAATCCAAAATGCGACCGTAGAAGGGGGATGTGCGGGTCCGCACACTCTGAACAGCTAGTAGTTAGTTAGGTCTCAATGCCACATATACTCGCTCACGAAAAATATCTAAATATCGAAAATTCCAGACTAATTCTACCTCTACCTAGTAGAAACACAAGGTCATTGTCTGAATGAGAATGGATCCAATTCTTGTGAAGAATGTTGCATTCCCCACGGTGGAAGACCATCGATAGATTGCAGCCACTCATAATGAAAATAGACATGACTACCCCAGTTACTAAAAAAGGACGCACCAGAAAACTTGATTTCCACACCGTTGGCCCTAGTGCCAAACCTTGATTTGGCGCGCTCTCGGGGATTTTCTAGTGGGCCGATGTCCACGCGGCGGGAAAACGGCCGCTGATCGAACGTCAGGTGGTTCTTAAAGTCGCGCCGAACGATCAATATTGCAATACTATCATACAATTCAATTTGGGAACCATGGGAATGAATGGTGAAACGTGTAAGAGCCTTCAATGCTCGCTCTGCCTTGATATTTGCCCCATGATATCAGTTGTTGCCTCGGATGACTCGTGTGGCTGAAGGCTCCACTCAAATAGATTAAAAATGATGAATCGCCCGATCGAGCATGATCTCATTCGGCCGGTATACCGGTGGCTTTAGCTGCGCTCGACCCTCTTTTCCTCCACTCATCTCGAGGCCGACAAGGGGGGGCGTGGTCCATGCA